TTATCTCCAACGGATCATGAGTTTGAAACATAGAAACAAATATAAGGAAAATCAATGTAAATCAACCAGTTTCTAGACCCTACATTGCTAAGAGCCTTGTGCCCTTGATGTGCCCCTAATTGTTATAAGAGTCAACAACTTATCAAATGGTAAAAAATTTAACTACCAAACGACATGTATTGGTGCATATTACCAATCATGAAACTTCATACCCATTAATCTTAAACACCCAGTGCCGAATGAAGGATGCGCATCAAAAGTCTCAGATTTCAAGGTGACTAAAACAAATTAATTCCAAATCTCATATAAATCACACATATGCAACAAATTAAGGATCAGCAAAGCATAAAAGGGCCAGGAAATTAACAGATGTGAATCAATCCGTTGATCAGAAGGCAACCAGTCGCACAATTATGCACCAATCGAAAGAAAACAGATCGATACCTGCTGAAGATGTCCTGAATGTTCATCCCGGGACCCCTTCCACCACCAGCGGCGTGCTGCCTGAGGCCCTCCTCCCCGTATCGGTCATAGATACCCCTCTTCTCCGAATCAGTAAGCACCTCATATGCTATCAACAAACGACAATTAAAAAGCCGAATAAACTGCCTCTCACACTCTCTCCAGCAGAAGAGGCACGACAATAACAGATCGCAATTCCATACCATTATTGATCTCGGCAAATCTCTTATTGGCCTCTTCGTTCCCTTGGTTCTTGTCAGGGTGGTACTTGAGCGCGAGCTTCCGGTACGCCCTCTTGATCTGCTCATCGGAGGCACCCTTCGGAACCTGCAGCACCTCGTAATAGCTCTTCCTGGAGAACCCGCAAGGAGAATGAGAAAAGATTGCGAGTTAAGGAGAGGGTGAATGACAGTCTATATTAGCGGGATCTTATTACGCTCCAAAGGAGGCGAAGACCAGGGAGAGCACGACGGCGAGGAGGAGCAAGCCCGCCCTATAACGAGCCATTTGAACTCCAGCGGAGCTCCGCCCAATCCGTCCTCCGATTAACTCGAGTAACTTTTCCGGCGGGTTTTCCCGTTTTCCGCACGCCCACGCGCAGAGAGAGAGAGAGTAGCCGATGCCTTTTACGACAAACCCGGGTCTCAAAGACCAACAAACGATGTCTTAAGCCACCAAATGATTCATAAGGACGTGGAACTTCTAAAGTGGACCAATCGGGAGTGAGGGATTGTGCAGCTGGCA